TTGCCTGTTAGTGGGAATGTATAGATATTGTCATCTGTATTTGTAAGTTAAGCTCAGAACCCCATAAAGTATGGTAACTTAGGCTCCATATCTCCACTCTCCCCAACACCTGCTGTTTTGTCCACTTTCTGAATTTGCCACTTATTACTTACTACTACACAACATCTTATATTTCATAAATAAAAGTTGTAGACACTATTTAGATATTTAGTCGAGTCCTAGATAATGAAATCTGTGGCCTCATATTTTTGCTGTGGTCAGAGCCTGATCCAGCAGTCATCAAACACTTTCTAGGCAATGCCTCTCCATCACCACTTTATTACTATATCTGGTTGTTACTTTATCACATGTATTTATCTTTGATATTTATTCTTCTAGTGTAGATATGGTGAGTTTCTATTTGTTTTAATGCATTATAAGAATATAAGAAAAAAGGAACATTGCAGCAGGCCTACTGGCCCACCACCTTAAGCCAATGCCTTTACCTAGTCAGGTCAGGTCACATTCACTTAACCCTTTGAGGGTTTTCGTCGTACTAGTACGTTTTACGCGTAGGGGTTTTTGACGTACTAGTACTCATAAATTCTAGCGGCCTCAAATCTAGTGGGAGAAAGCTGGTAGGCCTTCATATGAAAGAATGGGTCTATGTGGTCAGTGTGCACAGTCTAAAAAAAATCCTGCAGCACACAGTGCATAATGAGAAAAAAAAAACTTTGACCATTTTTTTTTAATAAATCAGCGACTTTGCAGTGTATTTTCGTATGGTATTTATTGTTGTATTCTAGTTTTCTTGGTCTCATTTTATAGAATGGAAGACATATTACAGAAATTGAGATGATTTTGACTGGTTTTACAAAGAAAGGTGCCTTGAAATTGAGCTCAAAGTAGCAGAAATGTTCGATTTTTACCAAACTTCAAAAGTAAACAAATCGTGCCAAGCGTGCAATACACGTCAACTGGTGAGTCTAATATTCTTTCACAAGTGCACCAATAATATTTATACCATTTTTTACACTAATGCAGTAGTCTGCATAACAGTAAATCTTATATTTTTTGTGAAAATAAAAATTCAAAGTGGAAAGCAAAAGAATATAAGAGGGGACTTGAGACATGACTTATGACTAGAGGAAATGTCATTTTAGTGCCAGGAATGTCTTTCTTGTTTATTCTGGACCCTATTCCGAAATTGGCATCTTTTGAAATTTGTGTGAAATTGGCAAAATTGCTAAATTCTGACCACTGTACTGGATAGTTGAATTTCATAAATGAGTGGTTTCTTGCATCCATTCGATAGAAAAAATGGAGTTCTAGCGAAATATTCATGTTTTTTGTCGACTAGTACAGTGAAATTGGCCGAAAATGGGGCTCAAAGTGGGCAAAATCGCCGATGCGTAAACATCGCCGAGACCGCTAACTTTGCGAGAGCATAATTCCGTAAGTTTTCTATAAAATTTCAAACTTTTGGTGTCTTTATGATCGGGAAAAGATTCTCTATCTTTTCATAAGAGAAAATAATTTTTTTTTTTTTAAATTTGGCCGACCCTGAGAACGAGTTTCGGAGAGGGCCTGTCGACCCTCAAAGGGTTAAGGAAGGAGAATGGCATCTAACCTACTAGTACAAGCTAGTCAGGTCCAACTCACACTCACCCAAACCCACATATGTGTTTATCTAACCTATTTTTATGACGGTACTTGGGAGTTTGTTCCGCTCATCCACAACTCTATTACCAAACCAGTGCTTTCCTATATCCTTCCTGAACCTGAAATTTTCCAATTTAAAACCATTGCTGCAAGTCCTGTCTATGCTAGATATTTTTAGCATGCTATTTACATCCCCTTTATTAATCCCTGTTTTCCATTTATACACCTCATTCTTATTCCCCCTAATTCTATGCCTTTCTAGAGAGTGCAGATTCAGGGCCCTCAGTCTATCTTCATAGGAAAGATTTCTGATACATGTGATCAACTTTGTCATCCTCCTTTGTACGTTTTCCAGTGCATTTTTATCCGTACACAAATGGGGCAAACTCTTCAGCACAGCCAATTACAGTTGGTGTCCCACAGGGAAGTGTCCTAGGCCCTCTTCTCTTTCTCATATACATAAATGACCTACCAAATGCATCGCAACTACTCAAACCCACACCATTTGCAGATGACACTACATACGTCTTCTCTCACCCGAGCCCAGTCACGCTAGCCAATACTGTAAATACTGAATTACAGAAAATATCTACCTGGATGAGTACTAACAAACTTACTCTAAACATTGACAAAACCTACTTCATTCAGTTTGGTAACAGAGCTACAGACATCCCTCTTAACATAATGATAAAATGGATCACCTATCACAAAACTCACAGAAGGAAAATTCTTAGAAATCCACCTTGATAATAGACTCAAATTTCAAACACATATACAACAAATTTCCAAAAAAATTTCCAAGACCGTAGGCATACTATCGAAGATACGGTACTATGTTCTACAGTCAGCCCTCTTGGCCCTATATCACTCACTTATTTACCACTGTCTCACCTATGGAATTTGTGCATGGGGCTCAACAACAATAAACCATCTCAGACCATTAATTACCCAACAAAAGGCTGCAGTCAGAATGATGATAAATTCCCACTACAGGCAGCACACTCCACCAATATTCAAAACTCGAAACCTACTCACCATACAAAACATCCATACTTATTACTGCACCTACTATATTCATAGAACACTTAACTCTGATTTAAACCCTCCCCTCAAACGTTTCCTTACCAACCTCAACAGAATACATGACCATAAGACAAGGCACAGATCACTTTTTGATGTTCCTCGAGTTCATCTCGCGCTATGCAAAAACTCAGTGCACATAAAAGGCCCTAAAATCTGGAATTCATTACCTGTGAATATAAAAGAAACACTGTCTGTTTATAAATTCAAGTCTCTTCTCAAAAATCACTTACTCACCCACAACTAAATAAATACTTAATACAGTGGACCCCCGCATAACGATCACCTCCGAATGCGACCAATTATGTAAGTTTATTTATGTAAGTGCGTTTGTGTGTGTATGTTTGGGGATCTAAAATGGACTAATCTACTTCACAATATTCCTTATGGGAACAAATTCGGTCAGTACTGGCACCTGAACATAATTCTGGAGTGAAAAAATATCGTTAACCGGGGTCCACTGTAATTGTATCTCATAAATGTTTCTCATTATTGTATCTCATAAATGCCTAACCTGTGACCCAATCAAACTTTATTTTTTAATTACATTACCTAACAGAATACTCCATTCTACTGAATGCTCAGCAACACAGTAAATGACCATATGACCTGTCTTTGTAATACTCATTTGTGATAAATTGTTATCTGTTTACAATAATGTTTTTACCACTGAATATATCATTGCTTAGTTAATCTTAAGTTAATTTTAAGCCTGCCCATAATGCTCTGCATACAAGGGGCTTTGGCATGTTGCACTGTAATAACTGTATTCCTTTGTACTTCACTGTATCATGTTCAAATTAATGAATAAATAAATAAATAAATAAATAAATTCTGTAATACGGTGACCAAAACTGTGCAGCATAATCTAAATGAAGCCAAGGATTTTGTTGACTTTATTGTGAACACTTATGCACTGTTGTCTTGGTTTCAGATTACTGCTAACCAGAACTTCTAAACCCTTTTTGCAATCCGTAATACATGTATTAAGATCTACACTATTTAGTTTATATGTGGCATGGTTGTTTTCCTGTCCAACATTTAGAACTTTGCATTTGTCTATATTAAACTTCATCTGCCACTTCTCCGACCACTGCATCAGTCTATTCAAATCATCCTGGAGTGCTTTAATGTCCTCATTAGAATGAATTGGACAGCCTATTTTGGTGTCATCAGTAAATTTGTTTATGTTGCTATTTATTCCCTCATCTATGTCATTTATGTAGATTGTGAACAACAATGGGCCCAACACTGATCCCTGTGGAAGACTACTTGTGATGTGCCTCCATTCTGATTTCTCACCATTTATGCAAACTCTCTGCTGCCTATTTGTCAACCATGCCTCTACCCAGGAAAAAATTTCTCCTCATATTCTGTGTACCTTAAGTTTTCTCAACAGCCTCTGATGTGAAACTCTATCGAAGGCCTTACTGAAGTCGATATACACAATATCATATTCAATACCATGATCTACCTCCTCAAATACCTTAGTGAAGAAAGTTAGTAAATTCCTAAGACAGGAATGCCCCTTTATAAAATCGTGCTGAGATTCATTAATCAATTTATGCCGTTCAAGATGGCTAAGAATTGCTTCGGCAATTATTGATTCCATAAATTTACCAACTATGGAGGTAAGGCTTATTGGTCTATAGTTAGAAGCTAAGGACTTGTCACCTGCTTTGTAAATAGGTATTACATTTACCATTTTCCACTTGTCTGGTATTACACCAGTTTGTAGTGATATATTGAAAAGATTAACCAAGGGTATGCTAAGTTCCTCTTTACAGTCATTAAAAACTCTTGCAAACAGTTCATCAGGGCCTGGGGATTTGTTAGGTTTTAATTTCTCTATTTCTCTGAGGACCATGTCACTAGTTACCCCAATCGTGCATAGTTTATTTGGTCAAGAAATGTGACTTCTGAGATTACAGTTGTGTTCATTTGTAACAAAGGCCCAGGCAGCCACTTACCAGGGAGCTTATTTTTCAGTAAATGTGCCATAGAGTGTGCTACACTCTTAACAACATGGTGGCTAAAAGTTTACCAAGTTTTTCAACATTGTACTTTTAAAAAAAATGGGAAAGGGTCAGGGGCTATCACTGTCAACACTGGACTTCAAAGTTTTTTATATAAAGCCCTTAATGAAAGATAGTTAGAATAAGTGTAATGGTGAATGCATTTTCTTTGGGTCATCCTGCTTTGGTGGCAAACACTCATTGATTTATAAAATATACATGTTTTCTGCATTTAGTAGACCTATATGTCAGTAATTTTTTCAGGTATGCTGTTATTGGAAACTGTGAGAAGTCAGTAAAGGACTTTTATGTTGTACCTCTTGCATCTCATCAACCCATTCCACAAGTAAGTTACTTAAAAAAAGTAACACTCATGTTTGTGTGTGTTTCTCAGAGGGATTATAGTAGTGTTTAGCATGTCAATTAAATAATTATTGCAGTGCAAATTTAAGATCTAAACTTAAACTTTTTATTGACTGTACATATAATAATTAGCAGAAATGCATTAAAAATGTAGGTACACACTTGAGATTACATTTACTTTAACAAGCATAGGTTCTTGAATGTTCCCATTTACAAAGATAACAGTTTTTTAACATCGGTCATTTTCCACCAAGGCAGGGTGACAAATTAATAATAATAATAATAATGATAATACTAATTGCTGGGAGCAATGGGTTAATAACCCCCTTTTCCCATACAGCTTACTAAAAATAAAAAGAAAATACTCTTTAAGTTTGGATGTTTGAATTTGCTTGGATGTAGTGTGGATGATAAGAAAGAGGCAATTGTGGATTTTATGAATGAAAAGAAGGTGGATTTTAAGGCTCTTAGTGAAACAAAGCTGAAGAGGGTAGGAGAGTTTCATTGGGGAGAAATAAATGGGATTCGGTCACGTGTTTCTAATAGAGTTAGAGCTAAGGAAGGAGTAGCAATAATGTTGAGTGATTAGTTATGGCTGAAAATGAGGGAATATAAATGTATAAGTTCAAGGATAATGCGGAGTAAAATAAGGGTGGGATGTGAACAGTGAGTTATAGTAAGTGTTTATGCACCTAGAAAAGAGAGAAGTGTAGAGGAGAGAGAGAGATTTTGGGAGATGTTGAGTGAGTGCATGGGGAGTTTTGAACAAAGTAAGAGGGTACTTGTGGTGGGGAACCTAAATGCTCAAGTGGGTAAAACTGTTGTAGAGGGAGTAGTAAGTTTGGGGTGTCATGGAAAAAAGAAAATAGGGTGCCTTTAACTGAACTATGTATAATAAGAGGTTTGGTAATAAGAAATACATATCTTAAGAAAAAGAGGATAAGTACACAAGATATGATATAGTACGTAATTATGTATTGGTGGATTAAAGGTTGATGGGTAGACTTAAGGATGTGCATGTTTACAGAGGGGAAACAGGTATATTGGATCACTGTTTAGTTGTCTCTACAGTTAGAGTAAGAGGTAGATGGAGCAAAAGAAAAATGGCAACAGCAAGTAAGTTTATAAACTAAGGGAGGAGGAAGTTGGGGTTAGATATAAGCAACTATTGGGAGAAAGGTGGGCTAATGAAAGCATAGGTTGTGTAAGGGCAGAAGTTTGTGGCTATAGGAGGGTGAGTGCTGGAGGAAAGAGGAGTGATTTGTGGAATGATGAGATAAAAGAGAAAAAGGTTGCTCATGAGAGGTTTTTACAGAGCAGTAGTGATATAAGAAGGGTGGAGTATAGGGAGAGTAAAAAAGAGCTGACAAGAGTAGTGAGAGGGGAGGTAAAAGGAGAGCAAATGATAGAGTAGGTGAGGCACTGTCAACAAATTTTGATGAGAATAAGAAAAAATTTTGGAGTGAGATAAATAGGTTAAGAAAACCTAGTGAACGAATGGATTTGATAGTTAAAAACAGAATAGGGGAGTTAGTAGATGGGGAGTTGGAGGTATTGGAAAGATGGTGGGAATATTTTGAGGTAATGCTAAATGTTGATGAAGAGAGGGAGACAGTAATTTCATGCTCTGGCCAGGGGAGTGAAGAAGATCGGGATGTGAGTGTGGGGGTGAGAGTTGCGTGAGGCATTACGTAGAATGAAAGGGGGTACAGCAGCGGGTACTGACAGGATCATGACAGAAATGTTAAAAGCATGGGGGGGACATAGTGTTGTAGTGGTCGGTATTTTTGTTTAACCCCTCAACTATCCAAACATAGATCTATGTTCATACCGCTAGCACTCCAAATGTAGGTTAGGAGGCCTGTAGGAGGCCTGGTCACAGACCGGGCCGCGGGGGCGTTGACCCCCGGAACTCTCTCCAGGTAAACTCCAGGTAGATCTATGTTTTATTTTTCCTGCCTCCAGATTTGGCATGATTGGCCTAAGATGCTTGGTCAGCATAGAATGGGTCTTAACCCTCAATGTGCACAGTATTAAACAACTCTGGGACCACTTAGTACCTTGTGGGAGCACCAGTTCAATTGAGCCCCAGCTAGAGTAAACAGCACAGCAAACACCAAGGATTCACCGATGTCATGTATTAACACTCCCCTTTTAAGAGGAAAGTGTCATCCTGCCAGAATGTCTTATAACCTATGCCCTAAATAAAGTTTCAATTCTTGAACTGTAATTTCGGCAGGCTGGCTGGCCAGCTGGCTAGCCAGGAGCTGGGTGGCCGGTGGCTGGGTGGCCAGCTGGCTGGCTGATTGGCTTTGTTTTTATCTGTCTGTCTGTCTGTATCTATCTCTGTCTATCTCTTTGTCTCTATCTCACAGAAACACATACTTAAATACAATTATACATAGTGTAAGTTACCAAGGATAACCCAAAAAGTCCAGACAAAGTGCTATACTGTGCTTGTTGATAGTGATCATGTGTAATACCAGTTGGTTCATGAGCAACTCTCAGAGACAAAAGAGACAAGCAGACAGAAAGAAAGACACACAGACAGACAGACAGTTAAACAGAACTAGACAGAGAGAGAGCTAGACAGACAGGTAGAGAGCTAGACAGATAGACAAAGAGCCAGACAGACAGATGGACAGAGAGCTAGACAGACAGATAGATAGACAGAGACATGTTTATGTGTAACAGTGAAAACAAATAAAGCAGAGGCTTATTAAAAACCACCACTGTCATTAGTGGAGTGATAAGATAAGACAAGACAATGCTCATCAAATGTCACCACTGTCATTAGTGGGGTAATAAGATAAGACGAGCTCATCAAATGTCACCATTGTCAGCAGTGGAGGATAAGATAAGATAAAAGGAGTGACACACTATTACATCATGCTTCAAGGGAACTTATTATATTATTATTATTATTTTTATTATTATTATACACTCCCATGTATCCAAAACATTGCTGGGACCTTTAAATACGTACTATGTATATATTTCTAGACAAAAGTATGTGACTAAGGTAGGTGAAAATGTTCACCTGTCACTGTGTTTGTGACTATTTGAGTACTATTTCAGTAATTAATATCAGTGTCAGAACAAAGATTAACTATTAAATCACAAGAACTACTACAAATTGTCATTATTAGAACATAAAAATTATACAAATTAAAAAAAAAAAAATGATAAAGAAAGGTATATCGGCAACGCATCTCCAAGTGGCAGCGCTTCATGTTGCCGTCAGGTGAGCGACAAGTGCCGACTTTGGGCCTTGTATTTCTATAAGTACCGACTCTAGAACTTTGTTTTTACATTACTTTATGTAAAAAAATGTCCTCTTCATTTAATTTTTTTTTTCAAATTATTTGGGGCTTTCAGCGAGTGAACGTAGCTCTACGTTTGGACAGTCAAGGGGTTAATAAATGTACAGTGGACCCTCGGTTATCGGCTGTTACTGTTATCAGCCAACTCGGTGATCGGCCGGTTTTTCGGCTCCCAGTGATCGGCCGTTTCGGACACGTCCATCCGCCGGCTGGGGCCGCTTGTGCGTCAGTTTGGCTATCTTTCTTGGTGTGTGAGGAAGCTTCTGCTCATACATCGAAACATTTTGCTTGTTTTCCATTGTTTATTGTGGGTTTATTTGCAGTGCAACTGCGAAATAAGTAACTGTGGCTCCAAAGAAAGTTCCTAGTAAAGTTCCTGTGGTAAAGAAAGTGAGAAACACCATTGAATTTAAGTGTGAAGTGTAGCAGGCATGCAGGGAGTGTAGCAGACATACAGGAAGTGTAACAGGCATGCAGGATGTGTAGCAGGCATGCAGGGAGTGTAGCAGACATACAGGAAGTGTAACAGGCATGCAGGGAGTGTAGCAGACATACAGGAAGTGTAACAGGCATGCAGGAAGTGTAACAGGCATGCAGGGAGTGTAGCAGGCATGCAAGGAGTGTAACAGGCATCCAGGGAGTGTAGCAGACATGAAAGGAGTGTAACAGGCAGGCAAGGAGTGTAACAGGCATGCAGGGAGTATAGCAGACATGCAGGGAGTGTAGCAGGCATGCAGGGAGTGTAGCAGGCATGCAAGGAGTGTAACAGGAAGGCAAGGAGTGTAACAGGCATGCAGGGAGTGTAGCAGACATGTAGGGAGTGTAGCAGACATGCAGGGAGTGTAGCAAACATGCAGGAAGTGTAGCAGGCATGCCAGGAGTGTAACAGGCATGCAAGGAGTGTAACAGGCATGCAAGGAGTGTAACAGGCATGCATGGAGTGTAACAGACATGCAAGGAGTATAGCAGGCATGCAGGGAGGGTAACAGGCATGGAAGGAATGTAGCAGGCATGCAGGAAGTGTAGCAGGCACACAGAAAGTGTAGCAGGCATTCCAGAAGCCAGCATTAGTCTTCAATAAAGGTATGTAATACTGATGTAATTGTTAAAAAATAATTATTTTGTGTGAATATTTTTGTGTGGAATGGATTAATTATTTTTTTTTTTTTTTTAACAAGTTGGCCGTCTCCCACCGAGGCAGGGTGACCCAAAAAGAAAGAAAATCCCCAAAAAGAAAATACTTTCATCATCATTCAACACTTCACCTCACTCACACATAATCACTGTTTTTGCAGAGGTGCTCAGAACACAACAGTTTAGAAGCATATACGTATAAAGATACACAACATATCCCTCCAAACTGCTAATATCCCGAACTCCTCCTTTAGAGTGCCGGCATTGTACTTTTCATTTCCAGGACTCATTTCCAGCTATTAAAATAACCGGTTTCCCTGAATCCCTTCACTAAATATTACCCTGCTCACACTCCAACAGATCGTCAGGTCCCAAATACCATTTGTCTCCACTCCTATCGAACACGCTCATGCACGCCTGCTGGAAGTCCAAGCCCCTTGCCCACAAAACCTCCCTTACCCCTTCCTTCCAACCTTTTCGAGGACGACCCCTAACCCGCCTTCCTTCCCCTACAGATTTATACGCT